CGGTGACAACATCGAGGAGGGCCACTATGCAGAACGCACTTGGGCTGGTCTATTTTCAGAACAGGAACATCCAGTAGGATTAACCGTGTGCAGTAAACAGCCTTATTATCTTGTGGGTCGCATGTGCATGCCCAACGACACACAATAGCACCGAGCGTATAAACGCGTGCGCTAGAAACAAAAAAAAGACGGCACAAGAGGGCCCCCAGACGGCCCCAGAGGCCCCCAAGAGAGCCCCAAGATGGCCCCAAGATGCGCCCAAGAGGGGGGCCACGACTCCAAAATTCGACCCTCACGCGTGAAGAGTGCTCCAGGAGGCCCCAAGGAGCCCACCTGAGGCCCCAGGAGGCCCCCGAGAGGCACCCAGGAGACCCAAACAAGGCCTCAAGAGGCCACAAAACAGCCCCGAGGAGGTTCCACAACAGTCTCAAAATGGCTACCGAGAAGCTGCGAAACTGCCTTCACGACGTCCCCGACAGGCCAACCACGAGATCCAAACCAACACCCATGAGGCCTCGGAACCACCACCTAGGGCACCCGCTGCCCGCCCGCCGTCCGCGGAGCACGCACCATTCTGTACTCAACAGATTCAGTCTCCAAGACAACACCTTGTAGTCAACAGCCCCCGTCTTCAAGGCAACACCCTGTACTCAACAAGCTCCCGCTGCAAGAGAGCACCCTTAAGGAATTCATTCAAATCCCGACCCGCCCGCCCGCCCGCCCGCCACCCGCCCGCCCGGCCGCTCGCCCGCCTTCCGCGTAGCACGCGCTATCCTGCACACAACACCTAGCATTCAACAGCCCCCAAGGCTCCCGGGACTGCCCGGGCCCGCTCCCAAACACGCCACGACACGCCAAGAGGGCCCTAAAGATTGCCAAGACAGCCCCAAGAGGCCACGGACACGCCGAAGATGGCCTCAGGACGGCCGACGACGCCGCCAAAACGCCCCAAGAGCGCATCCAGAGGCCCCTCCAAAGGGCCCCGCATTTTTGCGCTCTCGCATGTTCCGCCTCCCCACGGTCCCGGACGGCGTCAGAGGCCCTTCCGATTGCTCCAAGACAGCCGAAGAGGCTCCCGAGGAAAGACCAGAGACGGCCCAGGGGGCTCCCCAGATAATTCAAGAGGGCCTCGAGAGCGTCCCAAGAGAGCCCCAAGAGCGACCCAAGAGGGCCCCAAGAGCGCGACATTTCAAGGACTCTGGCCTGAGAGGCTCCTAGGACGCCCCCGGAGGCCATCAAGAGGCTCCCAAGAAGTCCCGTGAGGCTCCCAAAAGGCCCCCCGGAAGCTCCAATAAGCCCCCAAGGGCCCCCCAGGGAAGCCCCCTGCGGGCCCCTAAGAGACCTCGGTAAATCGTATTTCCCAGAGCTTTCCGGGAATATGATTCCTTGGGCTTCCGACCACCGCTCCGACCATGTTTCCAATAGGCTTGCCGACAAGGCCAAAAAGGGCCCTTCGGTAAGCCCCCAGAGCCCCCCCTCTTAAGAGAGCCGAACGAATCATGATCCCGGAAAGCTTCCCGGGAACATGATTCTTGGGTTGCCGCCCTCTCCCAAAACCATGTTTATAAACGCCTGCCAGGTTAAAAAGCCAGAGTCCCAAGCAGCGCTACTTGCCGCCACGCTCGGAAACGCGTCAGGCCCCGAAGCCTCCAGGGGCGCCCAACGACACCCCAACAAATCATGTTCCCAGGAAGTCTTACGGCCAGTGCCGCCGACGTTGAAGGAGGACGGTCCAAGACACCCAGAAATCTTCCAAACAGGCTTCCAAGAGGGCGCCGAGACAGCCCAGGGCCGCCCCCAGACGGCCCAAGAAAGCCCCACCACAGACGAAAAGGGTCGCAAGAGGCCCCCAAGAGGCCCCGAAACGATGACAGATCGTTCCAACACGCCCAAGATGGCCTCCGGACGGCCCACAAGGCTTCCAACACAGCCCAAAGAGACGCCAAAATCATTGATTGTCCTTAGGTTTTTGATGGATTTCAGGCACCCAATGTCGCCCCAACAGGCCCCCACGAGGGCGCCGAGACGGCCCAGGGACGCCCTGCCGCAGGCACGAGGCTGGGCCCGGGACGGGGCCCTCGCACCGGGGGCCCGGGGGCCCTGCCGTGGCGCTGGGGGCCTTGTAAGTCGCCCGAAGATGGCCCTGGCGTTTCCAGACAACGACAACGACCAATGACCGCCCGAGATCACCCCAGAATTGGTCCCTGACTGTCCAAGAGGCCTCCAAGACGCCCCAAGAGGTCTCCAAGATGGCTCCCAAGGAGCCCTAGGAGGCACAACTAATATGTTTTCCCTTGGTTTTTGATCGATTTTCGAGTTCTCGCCTTTGGAGTTTCCTGACGCTCCACGACAGCCCAAGAGGCTTTAATTTCCGCTCCAAGGCATCCCCAGAGGGCTCGAAGACGGTCACAAGACAGCCCACGGGGGTCCCAAGACGGCGCCAGATGCGCCCAAGGCGGCCCGAGAGGGCCCCAAGACGGCCCCAAGATGGAGCCAAGAGGGTTAACACGAACCGAAAGTCCGAGCCTTCCACCCCGAGAGGCTCTCAGGAGGCCCCGAGAAGCCCCTAACAGGCTCCAAGAGGCCCCAAGAAGCCCCCCAGGGGGCCGAAGAGTATCCAAGAGGCCTCCCACGAAGGCCCCAAGAGGCAAACATATATTTCTTGCCATAGGTTTTTGATTGATGTTCGAGTTTTCAGCCTTTTGGCGTCCTGACGCTCCAAGACGGCACAAAAGGCCTCCAAAACCAATCCAAGACAGCCCAAGAGGCCTCCAACAGGGCCCAAGACAGCCCGAGAGGGCACCAATACGGCCCCAAGGGGGGCCCAAGAGGGGTAAGACGAACCGAGAGGCTCTCAGGAAGCCCCAGAGGCCCCCCAATGGGACCCAAGAGGCCCTCAAGAAACTCCCCAGAAGACCGAAGAGGTTCCAAGAACATTGTTTTCCCATCGGCTTTTGATGGATTTTAGAGTTCCCAGCCTTTTGGCATCCCGACGCTCCAAGACGGCCCAAGTGGCCCCCACGTCCGCTCCAAGATAGCCGAAGAGGCCTCCAAGAGGGCCCCAAGACGGCCCACGAGGGCCCCAAGACGGTGCCCGAGGCGCCCAAGACGGCCCGAGAGGGCCCCAAGAGGGCCCCAAGAGAGCCCCAAGAAGGGGAACGCGAACCCAACAGCAGAGCTTTCCGCCCTGAGAGGCAAAGCCCCCCACCAGGCCCCAAAAGGCTCACAGGAGACGTACGCGGGGCCCCAAGATAGCCGAACAGTGCTCTCGATGCATCAAACTTGCTTCTAGGAGGCCCGGGAGGCTTCCGGATTGCCCCAATGTGGCCTCAAGCCGGGCCTCCACGCAGCCAGGACGGCCAATTGTTTGCTTCAGACTGAAGAACATCACTTTCCGACTGCCCGGAGAACCCTGACGATGCCCCGAAGGGACCCCAAGAAGCCCCAAGATGCCCCCCCGAGAAACACCCAATAGGTGCCTCCAACAGCCACTTGAGGAAGCACGGAGAACCCCCCAGAAGCCCTTCAGGTGCCCCCACGAAGACCCACGAGGTTCCCAAGAGGCCCTCAGGAGGCACGACTATGTCACGCGCCTGTGCTTGATAGCGCTGTCCAAGATCTTCTAGCGCGCCCCCGGCCTGGGCTAGAATCTGAGCGCGCGCGAAGCGCGCGCGATGGTTCTAGTATGTATGTACGTACGTACGGATGCATGCATGCATGTATGTCTGTATGTATGTATGTGTATGTGTGCGTGTATGTGAGAATGTATGCATGCATACATGCATGTATGTATGTATGGATGCAGGTATGTACGTATGTGTATACGTGCATATGCGTGCGTGTATATGCAATTGGAGGCCCTGCTAGATCGGTGTCGCCAAATGGGTCCAAAAGCCAACATGCATATGCGCCCCGTTGCACGGGAGATTGTGCAGGACAGTTTCGACATCAAGAAGACGAACAACATTGGGAGCTGGACGTCGGACGAGAAACAGATCGTCCTGCACGCACTCTACTCCTGTGATTGGGTCCAGGCGGGCGAGCACCCCATCCACCAACTTTGCGGAGTACAGCGAGCTCTCGCGGGCGCGGTGGCCTACCTCATCGGCACGAGAGACAAACCCATCCCCACCGGGGCCGCTAAGCGGCCCACATCGGTGAACTCGTCGCAACACACAGGCTTGGACCCACGAAGGCAAGAAGCACAACTATTGGCTTCCCTCGTTCTCCCTCGTGCTCTCTCCTCCGATCACCCTCAGCGTGTCGCAGGAGTCACAGCTCGGAGAACTCGATCGAATCGACCGAAACCCTGCTTTCGCTGCCGGTCTCCCGCTGCAACTGCTCTGGGGGACGGGCGCTCCTTTTGCTTGAGCCAAAACGCTGGCGCTAAGGTAAATGTGTCAGTACAGTAAAACGGCGCTAAGGTAAGCGTGTCAGTACAGCGCAACGGGGGAAAATGAGTCTTGACCCCCCTCAACCCACACTCATATTATTTCCTTTGACTAAACATGCCTGCGAGCCGACACTGGTTCAGTTCAATACAGATGAAGAAATATGTATAGAGAGCGAGCCGACACTGGCTCTGTTCATCAACAAAAAATGAATATGCATAAATATGAAGGTGCCGCTCACTCACGAGCGACTGCATCAAACAATCTCATCCCGTCGAGGATCGTCCGGCCGTCGGTGCCCTGGCACAGCCCAGGAGCTATTGCTTCTGCTTCTCGAGGCGAATCGCCTTGACTTCAGCACGCAGCTACCTCTCCTCGGACCACCACTTCGCATCTCTGTCCACGAGTAGTGCGTCGCATAGACGGCAACGCACCTTCTCCTTGTACTGGTTGGTGCCCGCAGTCGAGAGCTGATGGGCTGGGTGCACACACTTGAAGTCCTGAGTTTGCCTTTTCCTCTCTCGGTGCCTTTGCCCTTCGGGATGTCTTCCGTGTCGTGACCGGCTCGGCGGCACTTGCTGCATCCGGCAACCACTTGCAGGTATGCCTCTAGGATATTTTCCCCCAGTACATCGCCCGGGTCGTGTTCCACCTGCTTGTAGGATGCCTCGACCGCTCGTGCAGTCTGCGAGCCTTGTCCATCGGTAACTCCGTAGTCTTCATCCTGGTGGTCGATCCTGCCGACTGCTCGGTCTGCCCGGGAATCTCGACCCATTCATCACCATCACTCGGAACAGGGATGTTGTGGTTGGCCTTCTTGCGGGCCCTCGGCTGACATTCGCACTGGTCCACCACCATCCGACATACTGCACATACCACCAACGTAGCACTAGCTCCAGCGGCGCCTCCTCCGATCTCCTCGGTCTCGGCACCCGCGGCGTCCATCATGTAGATCTCCTTCACGCCGTCCAGATCCGCCGTATCGTCCGCGTTTTGATTCTCGTCCGAAATGATATTCACGTCCTCGTGGTGCTCGATGTCGTTGGTCGTGTCCGCCTCCTTCAGGTTATGCTTCTCCGTGAAATCCTTTTCGTAGCGCTCGAGAGCCTCCTTGGTCGGTGCGTATATCGTCAGCAACTTGCGCACATGGGTCGGAATCCTCCGACGCTTCGCCACTTGACCCAGTCCCGACCAATCGACCATGTCCTCGGGCTTCTCGTTGTAGACGTCGTCCTCGCGCTGGCCCAGCATCATCCGCCAACGGAGGTAGTGTTCGGGCGCTGGTCGAGCTGCACGCGCATTGCACCTCAAGTCCACGATGCAGTCCTCGAAGTAGGTGTAGCCTTCCCGTGCGAAGGGCTGGTCGGCAGGCCGATGCCGACGAGGATACTTCGAGCGGTAGCACTCGCCCCTGCGACCCTTCAGCTCCATCCGTTGCTCGGAGATCACCTGCTCTGCCATGGGGTCCGCCGTCAACCGGTACTCGCCCGTCCGGAGCACGTACCTCATAGTCGCCCGCGCGGACGTATTGCTTGGTAAGGCAGTCGGCGATCATCTGCTTGGTGTTCACCCACTTGCTCACCACGTCGTTGAACTCTATGTCGTTCCTGAGCGACCTGATGTCGATGAGCAGCCGCTTCTCGGACGGGACCGTCCCTCGCTGCTACAGCAAGTCGTAGAGCGCCTTACAGCCCGTGACCTCCACCATCTTGATCGCCTTTACGTCATCCATGTGGGTCCGGTAGCCCAGCCCGCGGTGCAATTCCACCAGGTGCTGTCTCAGCATGTCGCCACTCTCGACTGCCTCCAGCGCTGCCATCGTGTACTACTAGCCTGATGCGATGTGATAGCCACAACATCGGGGTAACCTTACTAGGCTGCCCATGTAGGAACTGATCGTCAGTGTTGTCCGCGAGGAAGATGACCAAGCCCGCCTAGCTAGCGGTCTTCGTCTTGCCCACGTTCCCGTGGCTCGAGTCCCCCACTGCCACCACAATCACGTTGTCCATGTCCAGCTTCTGGAAGGTTATGTCCACGTGGTCGGTCTTGGCGTCGCTCACGAGTTTGTTGAAGTCCAGCAGGTCCTGCACCTTCAAGTCACCGTCGCGAGCCCGAGCTTGACTTTCCACCAGCCGGAACGCCAAATCCATCTTCGTAGAACGGACCAGCCACTGAATCCGGCCGTTGCCACTGTGGAGCATAGCTTTCTCCTCCGCCGTTGCCCTTGCCTCCTTGGTCTTGCGACGCCCAGCCAAGATGGGCATCTTCTCGATGCTCTCCGTGTACTCCTTCTGGCTGCAAGTGATCGCGCCGTCGTCGTTCCGCTTGAGGAAGCGCCCGCAGTGGTGGAAACCGGTCTTAGCCGTCTGCCACTTGCCGCAGCAGTGCACTTTCCTCAGCTAGGCCACCTGGTGCGCGAAGAACTCGGGCGATCCCGCGACGAGGTCGTCGTCGACGCGCGCCCCGATCAGGCCGATTAGCTTCCCCCTCTCGTCGTGGAAGATGAAGAGGGCCGGGCACAGCTTGGATCTCGAAGCCCCGGGAAGCGACAGGATGGCATCGCGATGCTCCTCGTGCCACAGCAAGGGTACATCGTTCAACCCGTAGACGCCCTTCTTCGCCTTCAGGACAGTTTCTTCTGGGACAAATGGCCGCCCCAGCTTCGTCGCCGCAGGCATGCCGCCCTTGGGAACACGGAAGTACCCACGCCTGCAGCTGTCGAGATATCCCCCATTCAAAAATGCCGAATCCACGTCGCCCTGTTCGAGACCCCAGCCGGGCTGGCCGGCAGCTTCCTGGGTGATCACCGCCGCGGCAGTGTCCGTGAGCGTCGGCGCGTTCGTCTGCAGCTCGCCCGCGAGCAACTGCGCGCCCTTGTAGCCCGGGACGATTTTCCGTGACTTCGCCTTCAGCGGATGCTGGTCGCACGAGAGGCTTCCTCTCGCAGTTTCATTCTCGTCGGCGCGGACGCGCCTCATGGGCGGGATGTCCGCTGTCTCGACGCCCGCGATCTCCTCTTCACTCGGCCACTCCACAGCGTCGCACTGAATCCACTTACGCCACTCCCCCAGGTCACTCGCATCGAATGCCGTCTTCCATTATGGCGGGATGCTGCGTAGTTTCCCGACCTTTCTTCGGGGCGACCTGCTTCTTCGCGGCGTCAGTCTCCCTGGCCACGCACGCGCCCCTCGAGCGTTTCTTTATTTTGAGGAAGAGCACTTCGCCATCGATCTCGTTGTCCTCGGTCTTTGGGAGGCGACTCTGGTTGAGAGCTTCGCGACGCACACGGAGGCTTTCGCGATCTGTTTCGAAGTCGTCAGGTAGTGATCGCTTGCACAGGGACTTTTCGAGAACCAGGCTGTGGTGCAGGTTATGGCTGTCCTTCTTGCTCAGGCTGGTGCGGTGGATCGTTTGGCGCAGCGGCCGCGCCCAGGTCCGCGGCACGCCCCTGCCCAGCTGCATCGGGCACAGGTGGGTCGTTAGCCGCAACATATTGCATGTCGTCTCCATCTCCGGGTGCATCTTCATCTCTGACGTCCTGCATGTCGTTTACATCTCCAGGAAGTGGCGGTACTTCGGGTAGCACTCCAGGTTCAGGTGCGTCCTCTTGACTTGCTTCTCCCGCTTGGGAGTAGCCTCGCGCCTCCTCGGGGGAGGCGGTGGAGCTTCCTCTGCCCGCGGCGTCCTGGTAGCCAGCGCGTCGCCCACAGCGCCTTCGTTGTCCGAGTCGCCGTCGTCCTTCTTGCGACGCCTGTCGCGCCGGCCACCGATCCCGTCAGGCACAGGCCCACGCTCGCCCACGAAGCCCTTTCTGGAGGGTAGCTCCTCAGCGCCACTGCGACAGTTGCCTGGTGAGGTCCTCGTTCTCCACCATCTCGGCTTCACCGCGGGAGGCATGCCGCACCTGCTCAGGCGCCACGAGCACTGGCACCCGACGGTAGCTGAGGTGTAGCCTCGCATGGCCCTCGGCCGCCAGCACGATGGCTCTGCCGCGCCACCCACGCTCGCCCTGTAGCCGCTTCGACTTCACGTGCTTCACCTCACGCCAGTAGAACACCAGCTGGCCCGGCACGGACGGCCCGCACGGCGGGCGAACCCGACCAACCGTGGCCCTTCTCACTGCATCGTCGCTGTCCAGCTCGAAGAACGCCCAGTTCGCCGCAGCGCGAAACTGCTCGGCCGTCCTGGGACCGTCCGCGAAAAGTGCTGCGCTCTGCGCCGCCAGCTGCCTCCGATCGCCCACCATCGCCTCGATCAACGAGGCCGGGACGTTAGGCGATCGCCCCAGTACATACTGATACAGCGTGAAACCACTCAGTCGGATGCGGTTGTTGCACGTATTCGCTATCACCGAAGTCTTGGTGAGCTGCACATCGCGGCTCGGGCGCTGGAGGTGGCCCTTGAAGAAGCCGATGGCCCGTTCCATTCTGCCTTTGAGTTGAGGCGCCTCCTGCCGGGACCGGCCTCATCAGGATATTGCACTTCTCGCCGATCTCCGCGAACCGCTGCGCGATGTGGCCCTTCGCTGCATCGTAGTATAGTACCTTCGGAGGGCCAGCCCATGATAGCCATCCTTGCGAGAAGCAGCAAAGGCTCTCCTCACCCGTGATGGATCGCACTGCCGTAGTAGGTATGATGACCCTGAAGCTCGACGCGTCATCCAGAATCACCATCACCATCAACCGTGTCTTGTCTGAGAGAATCACCTCGGTTTCGTCCAAAAACGCATTTTCATTGAACTCCGTAGAGAGCTTCAGGTTGGCCGATCTCGACGCGTTGGGCCCCCCGAGCTCCTTGCACACGACGCAGTCCAACTTGCCCACCGCGTCGAGCACCTTCTGCGACACCCCGTTGGACTTCAGGCGTCGCTTCAGCGCGCGTGCCGACGGATGGCTCAGGTTCAAGTGGAGCTTCCTCAGGGCGCCCCACTGAGCCGCGGTGATGTCCGAAGCTTTGTCGCCAAAGCTCTCGCCGTCGCGATGGAGGTCTCGATGCACTGCGTCTGCTTCACGATCGTCGGGCTTGAATGCTTCTGGCCGGCTGACGAGTAGGGGTACCGTCGCGGGGATGGATGTCTGCACCTTCGGCTCCTTCACATAGATCACGACCACCGCGTCGGTTGGATACCTTGCGACCAGCTCGACCGTCGCGAAGTTCGGGTCGCCCGCGTAGGCGTCGGAGGAAGTCGGCCAGCACGCCCGCGTCAGTGTACACGGCGTAGACGCGCCGCACAGCTCCGCGAGGCACAGGGATAGCCTCGCTCTGCCTCAGCACGCGCACGTCGACCAGGTCCTTCCTCAGCTCTCCTTGGCCACCGCGCGCATGGTCCTCTAATCTGGAACCTTCGTCACAGCATCTCCGATACCCGGCTTCTTCAGGTCGGTGCGCCGCGCCAGCTCATGAGCACCAGCACTCACCAGGGTCTTGCCCAGGTGGTCCGGCCAGGCGCTAGCCCGGGAGAGCAGCGCGCCTCGCCCGACCGTGTCGGCATGCTCGTGGCGCTGGTCACATTTGCGATCGAGCCACCACGGAAAACATGAGCCGTTGGGTACCAACATACGCGTGGCCTTCCGAATCGGTGTACCGTAGTCGTCCGTCAGTCCAAACATGCATTGGTGTAGCGTAACCATCTCGTACAGTGGAGGTCGCACACCGTGCCAACGTAACAGATCCATGATCGGCTCCTCGCTCCAAGCGCGGCTCGAGAGAGGATTCTCGCCGATGCCGATGCGTCAACCTTCAGCCTGAGTCTGGAGCACCTTCGCCGAAAAGTCGACCAATGGCCTGAACTCATCGATGAGGTCGTCCACCCGGTCACCCATGCCCTGAGCTCGTTGAAACTCTTGCACGTTTGAGAAAGGTGCGCATGGGAACGCGACCGAGACCATCCAGGGCTCGAAGGTCTTTATCAGGAACAGGAAATCCGACTGGGTCTGGGTGTCGTTGGAGTTTACCCCGACCGACAAATCCGAAGACATCGCGTTCGCATGACCACCCTTCGAGGTTACACGAGTGAAGCGAGCCTCCTTCGCAAACAGCTCCCACAGCAAGGCCCCCCGGTTGACCCGCAGCACGTCGAAGATGACCGAGTACTTTTTCATCAGCTTGTCGATCCGTTTGAGCGTGCCCTTCTTGAATATGCCCTTGCTGCCGTTCTTCAGAGCCTCCACGACCCACGAGTCAGCGTGCCCCTTCACCTCGAAGCCCGGCTCGCACTCCTGCAGCGTCTCCGCGACCAGGAACGCGTCCGGCTCGAGCTGCATCTGACGAGGGGCTCCGACTCGTACGACTCGAGGACGTAGTCGAAGAGGTCGAGTCCAGCATGCCCACCAGGCAGCTTCACCAGCTCCTTGCCGCGCACCCCGAGCTCCTGGAAGTCCGCCCAGTGGCGTCCTCACGCATGTAGAGGTTGGTCTTCCACTCGGCGAGGTCCTTCCTGCTCGTCAAGCCGACCATGTCGCCGGGGATCTCGAAGTATTCCTGCAGCACGTGCTTCTTTCCGATGCCCACCGGGATGATCCACTTCTGCTTCGATAACGTCGTGCTCCACCGGGCCTGAGACCGTGCTTTGCCAGCTCTGCCTCGACGCGATCAAGCCATCCGCGTCCTGCAACTGCGATCGAGGCCCCGCTGTCCACTAGGGAGGCTGGCACGATATCGCTGGAGATCATCACCTCCAGCTCGGACCTGTCCGGCACGATCGGATCGCTGTCCTTCTCGAGTTGCATGTGGATGTAGTTCGCGTCTGGGCCCCGCTGCACACACCAGAGCGCTCACTGCCCAAAATCCAAGCCGTCGTGGACGAGGAGTCGACTTCGATCCTTTGCCGCGGCTCTTGCCCTTAGCTGGCTTCCCCGATTGTCCGTTGGCCAGGCACTCCGATGCATTGTGGCCCATTCGGCCACACTTGCTGCAGCGCTTGTCCGCCATCCTTGCCCTTTTCTCTGCCCGTCCCGGGGTTCTCGCCTGCTGCATGACCACCGGCTGCCGCACTCTCGCCCACCACGCCGTCGATCCCTCCTTCGAAGAGTCCCCTTGCCGCCCGCAGCTTGTTAATCTTGAGGCGGCTCTCTCGCGTCGTGACGAGGGTCTGGTGGTAGTCATCGCCTTCTCCAGCCAGGAACGCGTCCGCTTCATCCTCGAGGTAGAACAAGTGACTGCTGTCCCAGTCGACTTCTTCGTCTTCCTCCGTTCACGTGTAGACTCCGTGGTCATCGTCCCATTCATACCAGTACCCGTCGTCATCCTGGACCCAGTGCTCACCGTTGTGCGGGCCCTCTCCATCAGCTCGTCCGTTCTCGTGTCGTTCGCATGCACCGTCCACTTCCAGCCCGCCCTGTTCTCTTGTCCTCGGTGCCCACTTCCGCCGCGAGGGAAGAGATTCTCCGGCGTCGTCGAGATCTCCACTGAATTGAACGTCTCGTCCGCCCTCGCAATCACCAGGTCACGTTCGTCTTTGTCCAAACCGCTACGCTTCAACGCGCGGTACTCTAGCTCGTTCGAACTGATCTTCGTGTCCGGGCCCACTTCCTCCAGGTTCCGTCTCGTTACATCGATGGCCGTACAGAACGCCGCCATTGGCTCCTCACCTTTCCTCTCGAAGCGTGCGAGGTCGAAGAACGCGTCGAACGCCTTCGGCAACTCACGGAAACTGCTCTTCGCGAAGCGCCCCGTCTCTAGAAAATCCAGCAGCACGTTCGCTCCATCCTCCACGGCGTAGTCTCTCGGGTCCGTCTGCTCGATCAGCACGCTGATAGAGTTATCTGCGCCGAGGAGGTTCCGGTGCAACTTCGGGCCTAGGGCTGGGCGTTGTTCCTTCGACTCGCATCCTAGCTCCGCCGCCTGAACAGCCCTCCTGTACCTGGTGAAATCCTTCAACGTTTCGCCCTTCAGCGCCGGGATCTTGGGATCAACTGAACTGATGTAGTTCTCTCCATTCGCCATGGCACGCGGGGATGGCTAATCCCCGCAATCTCGTCCTGGAGTCCGTGGGACCAACCACGGAGCTCCGCTACCAACCTCGTTCTCGCTCGTGCTCTCTCCTCCGATCACCCTCAGCGCGTCGCAGGAGTCACAGCTCGGAGAAGTCGATCGAATCCACCGAAACCCTGCTATAGCTGCCGGTCTCCCGCTGCAAGTGCCCCGGGGGACGGGCGCTCCTTTTGCTACCGCGGTATTCTCATGGCACACACACACACACACACACACACACACACTACCGATCGGCACCCAGACTGCGCCGCTCCGCTAACAAGAGACACCGAGGCCCCCAGGACCGCTCCACCGACACAGGAGCTCGACTGCTCACCCTGCGTGGAGGCGTTCGACCGTGAGGGCCAAAATCGTGTTGGCAACGCATCAGAATGGGGTTGGGTACAAGCCAACATCGAGCGCAGGGAGGCAACCCAGCGGGCAGAGGGTCAAGAGGCAGCACACACCGAGGGCAACCGGCAGCGAGACCGCCCACCAGTCGATCAGGGCAACGAAGAAACAGGACAGAGGCCCCAACGCGCAGAGCCGTCCACGTGGGAACCAGCACCTGACGACGAGAACACCCAGCCGAAGCTTACTGCGTTCACTAGGTCAACGGAACACCAGTGCGGAGCGGGGCGCACCCAATTGAAAATCTACGTGGGACCGCTGGGCTGACACCCACCACCGTTCGGACAGATATGCCACGGTGGTCAAGGACCCTTGGTTACTCAGCTCTGCGCAGGTACGGGCTTTCATCGATGCCCATCATCTGCGTGCGGACTGGGAGTTCTGCGCACATCCCATGACTCGGGCGGCTAATCCCTGGCGGCGGGGGAGTCATGACAAGATCGGACCCCTCATCGCACCAGCTGGTTCCAAGCCGAGCGCGACCGCTGCAGGTAGCCATGCAGGCTCAAGCGCAGCAAGGTGCGGAGCTTGCACTCTTTACGATGGCCCTCCGCGTCCTCGAAGCCTCGAAGGCAGCCGAGCACTATCGATTGCTCACGCGGCCGCGCGTGCTCTGTGGCTCCGAGACCGTCAACGGCTGTGCTGGCGTTATCCGTGGAGACTGCCAACCTCACACCACCCATCTCTCCAGGGAGATACGCATCTGTCATGCTGTGGATCTCATCCCATCCGAGCAGTGGTTGCCATGGCAGAGGACGCCAATGTGTGGGACCTGCTTTGGTGGTGCAAGCACGTGATTTGCATGCAAGGGTCTTCGATGGGCCTGTCTCCCCATTTACACCAGTTCCCTTTGTGGCGTCTCGCAGCGTATTTCTGCTCCCAAGGAGGCAGCGCACATCAGGAGGAAGCAGCTCCTCTACGAAGCTGCTGCAGGACTTTGGTGAGGCCACGCGTGGACCGTGGACTGGCCGCGACGGCAGGATGCGAAGGCTGCCAGGCCAACAGGAGGATGCCTACACCGTTGTGCGCCACGTGCAACAGGATGGAGGCGACTGCAATTTCTGCCGTGGCCCACTTCACTTTCGCCCACGCCCCCAACCCACGCTTCGGCCAGTCAGAACTTCCCAGGGGAGGGGAAGCGAGGCAAGCAAGACGTTCAAGGGCGCCACGCCTCGCCCCCACTCACGCTCTGCAGCAGAAGTCACTTGAGGGCTGCCCTTTCCCCATGTCTGGCGCGGTGCAACTGGCGGGGGGCGCTCCCCCCGCCGCGCCCTGCTCTGTCTCCCCCCATCTGCTCTCTTCCTCACGCGCCACCGCATGTCCTCGCCGGAGCCTTCTCGCGCCGCTGCGACATCGCTCGCCGCCGATCCGCACGGTGGCCGCCTGAGTGCTGGGCTTATCCATCGCGCCCTACAGCTGCCTCGTCGCATGTCCCACAGCACCGCTGGCGGGCCTCGCCGCCTTTGCGCGCCATTCGTCGCCATGGGCGGCGAGGGCCTCCTGGCCGCCCTGCTGGCCTGCACCTCGCGCTCCGTTCGGCTGCACGAGTCAGCTTTCTGGCGTCACCTTTCGCGGTAGCGCCTTTTGTCTGTCCGTCTGTCCTCTGGACCTGGCGTCGGCCCCCTCGCTGCCTGCGCCCCTCCATGGGTTGCGGGCCGGCTTGGCCGCGGCCCGCTTCTCGCTTTTGCGTGCCCCCCAGCTCTCGTCCCGGGGTTTCTCGTTTCAACCTCGTGCTGCGCCGTGCTGTCTCTCTTTCGCCCGATTGCTTATTTTCTTGATGCCGTAGGCGGGAGGACTGTTTGGCCGCCTGGCTGGTCTATACCTCCAGGGCATCTCGCGGCACTCGGTCGGGCGCCGCTTTGCCCACGCCACCCATGGTTGTCTCGCGCCCCTCTTGGGTGCGCGCGGCTACTTCCACGCGGCGCCTTTCGTGGTCGGCGCCGTTTTGCCGTCTGTCTGCTGGACCGATGGCGGCCTAACCGCCTTGCTGCTTGCGCCCTAACATGGGGCGCGGGCCAGGATGGCCGCGGCCTTCGAATTCTTGGCACTCCAGTATCGAACCTGGGCGCACGCGTCCGCAGCTTGGGCTGCCGTTCGTTGCCCCTGCTGGGCTTTCAGCTGCGCGTCAGCCCGCCCTGCCGGCAGCTTTCCCCCGCGCTGCTTCGTCGGCCCCCCCCCCCTTGGGTTACGGGGGTCGCTCGGTGTTCGCCGCCGTCGGTCGGTCGCGGGTCGGCCGTGTCGCGGGGTCTTTCGCCGTCGTCTGTCCAGGCCCCTCCTTTGCTTTTGCCTTCGCTGCGTCCCCCGCCTTCTCCCTTCTCCTCCTTCTGGGTCGCCCCCACCGCGGGAGCCTGTCCTTTTTTGCTTGAGCGCTTGCGTTCCTTGCCAGCGGGTTCGCTTTGCTCGTCTCCCCTTGCACTCTGTCGCCGGCTGGTCGGAGCGGCGTGACCTTGCGGTGATGCGCGCAGTCTTTTTTGGGCCCTGATGGGGTGCTCCATCTTGCCTGGCGTCGCCTTCACCCGCCTCGGCGGTAGCCCTTCGCGGCTCTGGTTGTGGTTGGGGCTTGCTGTTTTAACATTGGCGTCTGCATTGCACCCGCGGCTATTTTCGCGCACTTTCCACAACCTCTGTGCGCCGCCGCGTTTCGCGGCTGCTGCTCGCGGTCGCCTGCGTTCGGCTTTGTTGTTGTTCGTTTCAGGCCAAGCCAGTTTCGGCCGCGTGATAACATCTTTCACGCCGACCTCAGGCACCCTGTTGCTCGATCGCTATGTCCGTTATTTGCTCGTTGCAAGGTCGGTGGCGTTGTTTTGTCGCGCAGTTTTTTCTGCGCGCATGCACTGCCACCACTTTGGCTAGGCTTGCAGCGTTACAGTAGTTTTTACTCTTGCTGTCTCTGTGAGGCTTCAAGTAGCACCATACTGCTGATTGCTCTTCAAACTACCCGCATCTAGCTTACGTTCCTCTGGTTTTTTGGCCGCTGCACTTTGGCTTTACAGCGCCTCGCGTCTTTCACCACCTGTCTGCATGGCCTTGACTGGGTTGGTCCATCATGGTGCGTTCGACTAAATTCGTTCGCAATTGGCACGTCCACCTGCCGACCGCGCCTGAGGCTCTTCTGCGCGGCCGACGTACAAGAGTATATGCATGTATGCGCGTACGTCATGGCATGATGCAAGTGATGCAATGCGTTCTGTGTATGCTGCAGGCTATGTGGTCAAAGTTGTGTAAGTCGAGATCTGTGACTGCCTGCGGTCTATCCTGTGCAAGCTGCGTGTTGCGCGGCATGTGGTGCCCAGAACCGCCAGAGCGTTACGACAGATTCGGCGCACTGAACTTTCAATCGAATGTCATTGGCATCAGGCCGTTGAACTGCAACGTCGGCCCTAAACCTTGCAGCGCGGATAGCGCGTAGCACCGAGGCCACACCCCGTCATAGCGGAGTGGTGGGCCGCGCACAACAGCAAGCATCGCCCACGTTTTGAGCCAGTTGCAGCACCCCATTCCACTCCGCGCAAGAAGTGGTGAAGGCTATGTGGTGCAAGTTGTGCGGTGCGAGCTCTGCGGGCGCCCACGTGGCGGCCCCTCACAGGGGCGGCCACGGGCGGCAGCGCGGCGACACCTCGGCGGCCCGCGGGCGGCAACGTGGCGACACTTCGGCACGCACGGGCGGCCACGAGCGGCAGAGTGGCGAAGCCTCCGCGAGGCGCTCACGGGGCGGCAACGTGGCGAAGCCTCGGCACACCCACCCAAGCATTTCGAAGCTAATTGAGAGCCCCTGAACGTAAGCAGTGCTTGGGGAATCTTTGTCAATACCGATTATGGTGGGGCACTGGTCGATATCAAGATATTTGGATGGTACGTTTTCAGCGCCAGCATTCGCACCGAGCTATGATGATTCAAAGAGGCCGAAGCCCCTGCCTGAGCCGCAGGATATGTACAGAGGAGGAGGAGGATGCGAAGGAGAACTAGGGAAAATTCAAGATGGCTGCACCATACCATCCCGTACTGAGTCCCCTCCTCATACATCCCCTCACTACAAGAAGCGCTCCCTTAGACCTCCTATTTTGGAGAGGGCCCCGTTTTGTAAAAGACTTTGCCTTGCGTCCTTCTGGCGTGTAACCGAGATCACGGAAACCATGATCATACAATTCAGCGCGGTATCCAGCGAGACCCTCTTTTCGAAAAGGACCGCTCACCCACCCCCCGTCCGTGCAATTGCTGTGCAAGCTTACACTTGTGGCCATGACCTTCGCGGAAATCTCAAGCGAAAGCCCCACTTCGAAAATGAGCCGCCCTCGATCCCAAAGTAGGAGCCCCGTTTCGGAGGGCAGCCGCCCTCGATCCGTCCAGCGCTGCACGTGCTGCGGCTTCGAGGCTCCGAGAGTCAGGGAGGTCTCGAGCCGAGGGCCCCGTCTCGAAGGGGCACTGCCCTCCGCCTCCCTGGCGGCCGCAGGCACTGGCAGTCGAGTGTGCGCGGCGCGAGGGCGAGAGCCCCGCTTTTGAAAGCCGCCGGGGCTCCACCCCCGCAGCTGCTGCGGGATGTTCCAGCGACCGTGCGCGGCGCT